TTCTCATCTCTGTCTGAATCCAAGGAGGTCTTTTCAAAGGCGATTCCGTTCACAATTACATGTGTTGGAACAACTGCTCAAAAAGTGAGCCCAGAAAGGATGAAGGACAGCACGTCCCTGGCAGGGTTGGTCCTACTGCCTCTGAAGCATGTAATGGTAACGATTTCATCCAATCTATGTGAAAACAAGGGCTTGTTTTCAACAGTCTGTGTAAATGATGGGTGCAGCCATGCCATGAGCTTCAGCCTAAGAGATTGAGGAGTTGAACATCAGGAGCCAAAGACCTGTTTTGCTGCCAGACCTGGCTCCTGTGACTCCTTTGAGGAGTCTGCCTGCAGACAGGTATATCCATGAGGACAACACTGCAAGGGATGGGGATTTTACAAGACAAAGATCCCAGCTCCATCCATTTGCACTGGAAACCTGCTGGACTTTGCAACTGATGTAAACTGGAGGAAGGTTGGCCCCATGGCCTAGTTTGGCCCTATTGCTCTAAGCCTGATGTAAACACAGACTGGTCTAGCTTGAAAGATGCCTGCTGGATTTTTTGCATACGTATCATTCCTGTTTCAAAGCTTTCCCTGTTTACCCTTACAGGCTTTTATTTAAAATAGTCCAGACAAAGCACTGCAATTTTTCATTTGAAACAGGGTTTTTTTTATGATTTATTTAATTTTTTACACTGGAGAAAACTTTTAATGTCTCATATTCAGCCAACTGGCTCTTCACAGGGGTTTTTCAAGCTTTTCCTCCACTACCTTTAATTCCCCACCATTTGAACAAGGGTCTTCTCCTGCCTTGATGCCGCTGTGAAATCACAATGCTATATTTGTCTTTCTAACATCAAAGTCATTTCCATGGTCACCAACTGTGATGTCATAAACATATTTTTAATGGCTTGTTTAGAGCAGGGAACAGAAGGAGAGAAGAGATTATGGGTGGAAGGAAACTCTTATCGATACACAACAGTTTTAAGCACAACTGTGAGGCTGAAGCAGGAGGGAAACTTGAGGCCAAAACCATTTCCTTGCTGAAACAGCTTCTCTTCTGAAGCTCATCCCAGCACAAAACCCCCTTTTTAAGTCACTAGCAAACAAGCAATCCCAACAGATTACTATTATGTCAGTCAGACAGGAGTGGTGCAAGGTGCTTTCTATGCTTGGAAGGCAGCAAATCCATGCCCCAACCCATCCATCTTGCTGTGTAAATGAACACACAAAACACAGCAACCCCTACAGAAGTGCTTACGCAGGACCCAGTGGGATCTGGCCACTATTGGCCCATATAGTCTTAGTGTCCCAGGTCGTAACAAGACTACCCTTGAGAGACACTTCAACTGGCCCAGAAGGTCCTTTCTTGGTCAGCGATGGTGGTGAGGATGGGGGAGAGCTTTTGGCTGCAGGAATAGCAAGGTCCCATGGGCTGTGTGACCTGAGAGTCATGCTTCTAAACAAGCCCAAAGCAATGTGAACTCCTCCTAGCCAGCTCTCTGCTTTGGTGGCAGGGTTGGGACACAGCCAGCTCAAACAGGGGGGTTGTCCAGGTTCCTCTGTTAAAACAGAAACAAAAGACTCACCTCCTAAATTCCTCTCCCACAGGACACAGTTCAGAGTCAAACAAGAGTTTACCAACACATCTGGGTTCTCTCAAGTAAAACTCATCCCTCACTTACAGAAGGATGGATTGGGACTGTTAAGATGTGGGGCTGTCTCAAAGACATCACGACGAAGCATACCTGTACATATGCTCCAAGGAGATTATCTCCCTCCCCTACCCAAAGAAAACATGGTGTGTGGGGGGGAAACTCGCTGGATGATGACATTCCTAAATCCTCATCCCATGAGAAGAATTAATGTAGCTCTTTCCCCGCTCCAATACCAGGAGCTCCCCAGTAGGAGATCCTATTGTACATCACACACTAGCAAGGGCCCATGTTTCAGGGAGCTCTTTTCCGGAGCAAGCGCAGTCCCTGGCACGCAGGAGCTGGGATTTCACACACTCTATTCATTCCTGAGGCACAGAACAAGCAAACCACCATTTTGCTGCAGTCCCACAGCAGGAATAAAATGGTGGCATAGATGAAAACTGCCAGATCAAACACAATCCAGTTGCCTGTCACCACCTGCAGCTCTTCTCTGCCTTATATGTAACGCTGAATTCTGAAGCAGGTTAATATTTGATTTCTGGGTATTTAAACAAACAGAAAAACACCCCCGCCACAAAGAAAAACCCTCACAACAAAAGAATGTAATACTCTAACAGATGATTAATATTGCAGCCATGAAGCACTGAGATGCAAGCTATCGACGTTAGCATTCACATTTCTCCCACAGTAAGGCAAGTCCGCAATCACAGTTGTTTACTCCTAACTGGCTCACCCAAAGCCACCAAGAACAACTGAGTTTAGGTGTTTAACACAGAAAGGGTTCAATGGCTTTTACAGTATCCTTTAAGAAACAGTACAGTGGCTGAAAAAGGCAAAAAAGTGTTCACTTAATTGCTGTTAAACAGCTCCTTCTCCATGTTATACCATTCCCTTTGCTCACACACACAGTAAACTTACCCTAAAGCTGAGCCTGAGCACTAGAGCAAGTCCCAGGTCCCCAGGACTGGGACAGAAACACGTTCCTCCCATTCAATGGGAGCCCAGCAACAAAAAGAAATTAGTTCCTCTCCATGAGGAATCCTGCTCTGGATTCAGCTTTGAGTTTAAATAATGATTTCCATATACAAGCAGTAATTATTACAGACAACTTAGAACGAAGCAGTGTAACATCTAACAGCAGTTCTTCCCAGCAGCACACATTACCTTTAAAATTAAAGCATACATCATCTCTTCAGAGCACAGAGCACATTTAAAATTCCTTATTTCTTTCTTTCACAGTCAGTGACAAACAAAATACTTCTTGGCTTACACTTGGAACCAGTTTGATTTGTACGGGCTTTAGATTTGCTGCATTCTGCTCTTCCAACAACACATCATTCAGTGGTGGGAAACACTTCCTGTTAGAGTCTGTTCAAGTATTACTTTTTACTTCCATTTCTAAACACCCCCGTAATCAAACGCTGCAAAATGAATTGCTGAAGTGATGATTTCTAATGCATTTGACTCATGTGTAAGACATCTGTTGATAGCAGGTAGAGATTTCTTGTTCTTTCATTATCACCTATGTATTTTTACATCTGAGAGTTAAACCATTATTAAAACAATAATCAAACCCACACACTGCAGAAAAAGCTCAAGAAAAGTCTAACTGAATGGTTAGGAAAAACATAAATCCCACTGTACTTTTTTTACTGAAGATCTTGACTGAAGCACTAACCATGCCCAGTTACTGTACTAAGTACAGCATTTTATTCCAGACTATCAGGTACTGCGAATCACTGGTGACCGGTATAGAAATCATACCTTTTCAGCTTCTCATCTAGTAGAAACCACTACATAAATGCTCAATAAGAGCAACAGACCTGGTATTTCTGCCATTTTAGTCATGAGCAGCCTTTTGCTGGGGTCAATAAGGTCAAAATCAGGCTTTAGAGAAGCCCTTTGGATGTCCCCAAAACAGGCACAGGAAAACCATCAGAAAGAGCAAATACAGGGAGTTTCCATTGCCACTTTTAGGGCACCAGCTTCCTCAAAGACAAGCTTCAAACTTAAAGCCAGGGGAAAACGGTCAAGTTGAATCATTTCACATCATTCTCTCTGCTAGAGAAGGTACAATCTGAGCTGATCGGGACTTTTCACACTTGAGAATTAGGAGTGGTGCTTTTTCATTGCTTGATCTAACAGACAACCAAAGCCCAGCCTTGCGAAAGGGCACGCACTGCCACCATACAATAGTCCAAGTTTAGCCTAAAACATAAAAGCTGCGTCTACAGCCTTAAATAAGGAAGCTGGTTCTGATGTATTGTGTCCCTGCTTTCCCCTTGGTCAAAATAGAGCAGGCATGGCAGATAAAACAGTGGATTTGAACAGCTCATTCCTATGTAGCAGACTGGCTTGCAGGTATTTACCACAGTTTTAAAGGTAAAGTTAATTTGCAGGAAAAAAAAGACACTAATGGAATTTTGCCTTTAGTATGAATCAATGTTAAAGGAAAAATGACTATGATCAGTTGAAGGATGCCAGGATGGACAGCATGTAACTGTGCCTTAACCTGCTGAGAGCTGGGTCCACCTAAAGAGCCAGCAGGACTCCCCCAAGATGAGCTTGACACAGCCATGCCAGTTGGGTTGTCCATGGAGGCAGAAAACCACCCTATATTCTGCTGCCTTTGGCTCCCCCTGATTTTTGCTGTGCATCTTTTACCTCATTTCCACAACATCCCTAAATAAACCTGCTGGATTCTTAACAGTAACTCAGGTTTCCTGAGCCAGTTTTCCCTAAGGATTTTAGAGGGAAGAAAATAAAAGAAATCATAGAATTCCAGACTGGCTGGGGTTGGAAGGGACCTTAAGGCTCATCCAGCTCCAACGCCTGCCATGGGCAGGGACACCTTCCACTAGAGCATGCTGCCCAAATCAGACAAAAGGAAAATCTATCAACAAACAGCCTTTCTACAGAAAACACCACACAGATGGGTTATTGTCCCAAGCTCCTTACCTGCATGGTGCCTTTGGGAGCAAGCAAGAGCTGAGAGAGGCAAAGGGGAAGACAGGAGGCACAGCAATCATCCAGGAGCAGGAAACACCATCTCATCCTGCAAGCACCAAGGCTTACTTCTATTTTATTACCCATTTTAGCCCAGCACTTCCATGTGATCCCATCTACAAAGTGCTGGGGGAAAGACATGCTTTGAGGAGAGGCTTGAAGACAATGGTGGAGACAGATGGAGGGAGACCCAGGAGGAAGTTATCAGTCATTAGACATCACCCACAGGTGAAAACAATTGCTCATCCTGAGCTTATGTTTCCAAAAGCAATGAAGACACAGGGATAAAGATGTTATAGTGTAAGCACTTTTCACAATAAAATGGTAGAAATAGGGTTTTGGAGCATTCCGTGTATTAAATAGGACATTTGGCTTAACAAAGAGAGGCCAAAGATTCAGTGTATTATTACACTGGAAGTAAGAAGGGATGATTAAATTCTCTTGTGTGCGCATATATATATAAATATATATATTAAAGTAGATTTTATATATATATATATATATATATACACATATATGTATATTCTGTTGAGCAGCACCAGAAAACACCCATTGCTGGGCAGCATTTACACCAGCCCCTGGGAGAGCCATCGGATGGGCAACACTCAGTGGCAAGAAAAAACCCTTTCAAAAGCAGAAGGATTAACCCCTAAAGTTATTAAATTAATAGGAACCATGAGGGGAAAATCTTGACTGTCTTTGCTTTGGCTCGCTGGCAAGGCTGCAAAAGGAAATGTGTTGGGGAAAACAGTTTATGCTGCTCCTGGAGGCGGCCATCTGGGATGCTGAGATTAGTATTTGAGATTTCTATTATCTGAAACTCCATTGGCAGGCTCTGCAAAAAAAAAGAGGAGTTTATAAATTCTGTTAGCGGGGTTTAAGTAAAACTATTTTATCTGGGGACTAAGAAATAAGTGTAATTACCGTAGGTGGATAATGCTTTTTCATTGCCATTCCCCAAAATTAGTTTACCAGATATTATTCCTAAGAGGTATAATTAAAATCAACATAAAATCCAGAACACAGTGAAAATAAAACATCAGGAGATAATGTCTTTAAAATTACTAAACCAAACAGTCCTCTGCACTGCGGTACAAGCATAATCACTCCCTGGCTAGCAGTGTTTGTTTTCCCTGTACAGAGATGCTTTGAACTCCCAGGCTGCTCAGGCGAGCTGTTACTTCGCAGCCCATTGTAAGAAGCAGTTATTTCATAACACTCTGTTTTAAACTCATTCTCTAAATAGCAAAAGAGAGAACTTTATTGAATGCAGGGTCTTGACACTGTGTTATTTCCAAAGCTCCCATTGAAAGCAGCCTGGAAACCCCTGTGGGTTTGTAGGCAGGTTCACGTTTGGACCCATGTACCTGCCATTAACTCCTGCCCTGGCAAAGTGTCCAGGGATGTAAATGGGACTCAAGCCAGGGATAAAAACCAAATGTTGAATTCCACATTGAGTACCAGGAGAGGCATTTCAGAGCCAGGTACTTGCACCAGATGTTTAATCCTGTTTTCTGCTCCTAGATAAGGCATAACCTGATGGTAGATGCCACCTCTCATTACAAATGTCTGGCCACCCTTGTTAATGGAAGACTTTGTTTTCTTTTTGCAAATGTTATTAAGCAAAGAACAAACTGATTGTCTAAATTGATTAAGCAGATTCATTCCAGTGAAAAACTTATTATTTGCCTGGCTCATTTCATCAAATCAATCCCGAGGAAAAAGGCTCCATGAATTAAACTAATCATAAATATCTACTTTAAAAGCCAGCCGTTAACTGGCAGGATACAGTTAGTGCAGTCAATCACTAGGACAATAAGTGACTTTGAAAGCAGCATCTTGCATTGCTTCTCAGCACCTTCTTTGCCTTTTCTTGCAGAAAATTGGTGTTTGGGAGCCAAATTCTGCCCCTGCTTGGTCCCATACATTCTCATTAAACTTCTATGGGAGCCCAGGAGTCATTCTTGGGTGAAAAACCCCATAATATTTGACTGGCATTTCCTATAAAATAGCAATCAGACTCTAATTAGAACACTAACTCTGTTAGATTAATAAGAATTTCTGAGTGCTTCAGTACAAGGTCTTGAAAAAGCCACTTTTAAAACATAACATGACATTCATTTATTAGACCGAACACACACATTCATTAGGCTCACTCCCATCACTGCCAGAGAAGGTTTCTCTGTAATCTTTTGCAGGACATGGATGGAAAAGGCAGCCTAGAATGCTAATAATCAATTCAGTTAAAAAGAAAGATCAGCCACTGCATTTATATTTTCCCACCATATTATAGACATGGTTTGGGCTTTTTCTGACTGGGTATGTTTGCACACACACATGCTTTTGAGATTTGCTCCCTACAAAGGTACCTTTGAAACCACCATTCAATGAGGACCTTTTCTTTACAAATAGGTTTGTCATGGATGGCTTGCTAAAAGCACACAGGTCTTGCTTAATAGCTAATCCAACTTCTTCATTGCCTTTGAGCCCAGAGGTGCAGCAGCATCGCTGCCAGGATCCCTTCCCAATGCGGCCATAACTCCCATAGCATCAAGAAGGGTTAAGCCAAGACAGTGTGAGGATGTGGTGCGTGGTACAGCCTGGAGATGCCTCCACTCTGTCTCCATCTTGGTGCTAGGTTAACAATTCAGTGTAACATTTTCCTACCAAATGCTTATATTCAGTCCCACAGCTCTTTGATGAAGCCAGTTTCAGGTAACTCTGACTTGGACTGTCTTGTGCTGAACTTTGAGCCCCAGTTTGGCTGGCACCACCGGTTCAAGACACAGGCCCATGTACACAGGAAACCACTTTACAATTACAGCTCCCTGGTCTCCTCTTCCTTTTTCAGTAGCTTTTCTCTAATAATAAGAGGAAAAGTCACCTCTGCCCATTGTACCTGCTAAGGGCTGAGTTCATGGGGCAGACACCAGCAGGTAGACTTTGGGTTCTTAAATATGGTTTTACAACGGCTCAGTGTGAGAGCAAAAGCTGCAAACACTGTGGCACAAGCAATAGCTCAAAAGCACGCGACACAGGCATTAACAGCAAAGCTGAGAAAGCTAAGGCAGTGAAAGAAACCTCATATACACAACAGCATCACAATAAGAATGTAGTGCTCTGCAAGGCACAGTAATGACACTGAGGACTTCATCGCTGCCCTTTCCACTGGACGGGAGGTCCTGCATCCTGCATCCTGGTGCAGGACAGAAACATCACATCCCATCACAGTGCACAGGGTGCTCAGGGAAAGATTCCCCCTTTTCCATATGGCTTCACATGGAGCCCTCAGGCCATCACCAGCCACTGACATCCCATGAGCTGCCTGCACTAATGGACACAGGACCCTGCCAGCACCACTTGCTCCCAGTTTCCTTCAAAATCCTTATCTGCTACATCATATTAAATGCCCACAGTATATCCATACTCAAATACTTAACATCACTAGGTCTTTTCGTTTCAAGACCTATTTGCCATTCTGACTCTATTTAGCATCCCAAGGAACAGAAAACACTTTCCAGACCACATTTGCCAGCTAAGCTAGTCTCCCCTTCCTTATGGCATTAAGGAGCAGGGCACTTTCCTAGAAGGCAGTGAGGCCTGGGTGCCCAGGGGACTTCTTGCAGGGCACAGGGAATTGGTGCTATGGTGAGAGCTCTGCCAGCCCATACAGTGCTGGCTGACAAAGCCTGCTGCCAGCTGGGAAGTAACACAGATTGGAACTGACAGAGAAATGTGACAAATTCATTATTAATAGCACAACTATTCTTTAATACGTAGAAGGCTGTACTAGATTAATAAAACCAGGCTTTTATATTCCTATCTGACAGCTGTGATGGCGTGTGATCTGCAGGAAAGCAAGCGCTGACGATGCTCTGGCTCCGGCTGGCATCGGGATGCTGCAGTTGGATTGGGCAGGGACAGGATTTCTCTCCAGGACATTGCAAGTCCTGCACGCTCCAGAAGGTCACGCAGGCTGACTGTGGCAGGGCGAAGCACTCACACAAAAGGTCAGTGTGAGTGGAAACCTGCACACAGTTCCTCCTCGGGGGGGTGCAAACCTCGCTGTGTTCATTAGCATCCGCCTTGGTTTAGCTCAGCCCATAGTGGGGTGTGAGGGAGCTGGTTGGGTTGTGGATCAGGGGCACAGGGACTTGCTCACACCCAGGTGCAAATCAAAGCTCCAGTAGTGCACAAGTGGAATTCAGTCCCTTGCTCCCCACCTACCTGTGCACAACACACATCCACAAGCTCTCAAGCAGCCTATATCTCACTCTATACGTTTACACACATATATATTTATATATATGTGTGCATATATATGTGTGTGTGTATACATACAGATACATGTGTATATATAGTATAGTAGATACATATATATACACATATAGATATACATGTATATATAGTATAGTAGATATATGTATATATACATATATATGGACACATATGTGTGTATATACACACAGATAGGCATATATGTATATATATAGTATAGTAGATACAGATATGTATAAATATGCATATACACCATACATATATATACACTTTTATTTTACTCCAGGTATTTTTACTCCAGGTGTACACACAAGACCCATCAGTATGTAATATAAATACTTCATTTAACAGCTCATTAGCATCTATTCCCTCTATCTCTGCTATTTTTGTTTCCACTTATTCTCTTCAGAGGAAAGAAAACACAGTGTCAGGGAAAAATATTTCCAACAAGCTTTAGAAAGGATGAGTAATTGGGCAAAATGCGTTCACTCACTCTTATTCTTGCCTCCTTGAAACCTAAGAGGAGCTGCAGTGCACGGGCTGCTTGCAAACAACCCCACACAGTTCCAGGGGCAATGTGTGGCCACAGAGAAATACCATGCGACCTTCCAGATATTCCTTGTGGAAAAGAGATTGGTTCATTCCTTTGGAATGAATTATTCTGATAACTGGTTGCTTCTTTTCAGCATCCTTAGCATTTTCCGCCATCTTCTGCGTTTACCAAGGGTAGGTCACATCACCCTTTGCCACCTCCCTCGCAGCCGGTACTAAAGGTCTCAGCATCACCTGGTTGACATGTACCATCCCCTCACAGCATCCCAGCATTCCCAGGGCTTGGAGGATGAGGCAGGTTTGTGCTAAGCTCGGTACGGACACACAGCTACAGCCCGGAGCTCCCCGGGACAAAACCAGGGCAGGGAGTATGGCTTTTAGAAGACACAGATGTGACACTGATTTACAACAGGCATTATCCAGCCGGAGCCCTGCTTCCCAACCCCTGCTCCGAGAAGGGAATCCACCGGTGCTCCTTTCCCCCTTGTCGTGTCCCTACAGGACCTTGTCCAAAGCCCTTTTCCATGTTTCCTGTAGCCTCTTTAGGCACTGGAGCTGCTCTAAGATCTCCCCTTAAGGAGCCTTCTCTTCTCCAGGTTGAACAACCCCAATCACGGCCAAGATGCTGCACGCAGCAAGAGGGGACCTGCAAACACATCCCAGGAGTGGGCATCAGCCACACCAAGCAGAGAGGGGCCGGGACTGAGGACTCCTTGGTCCTCAGCAGTTGTATTAAAGCCGGGGGGGGAGCGATAGCAGCGGCATCGGGATCCTTTGAGCCGGTGGCAGCCGCTGCTATTAGCACACAAAAGAGATGCCGAGCAGCAGAGCAGGACAAAAGGGGAGGGGGGCATCCAGGCAGGAGAGACGGAGGGTGGAGCGAGACAAGGATGGGAGAGGAGCCGCGCAGACAAGCGGGAGGGAGGGAGGGAGACAGCAGCGCACAGAAATCAGCGCAAGGCAAAGACAAGGGGATAACAAGGGGGGAAGAGACCACATGGGGAAGGGCGCTCCTCACCTGGCCCGCTCCCCCTCTGTGCTCCGGGCTGCTCCTCTCTGCACGCACCATGCAAGGGCACCAGAGCAGAGCATCAGGCCTCTGGGTGAACCCCCAAACCCAAGAGGGGTTTCCTGCTCACCCAAGTTTCGCATCGCTACTGGTGAGGCCGCAATCAGTGCATCTGCAAAGGGACTTGGAGTAACTGGGTGCATTTCTCGCCACCAGCCATACTCCTCATTCCTGTTCCCAAAAACACACCTTGGATGATGCCAGAGCCACCAGAACCAAAAGCCAGTCCCAGTTAACGCCAGCATGCAGCATCCAAGCAAACAAACCAAAATGAGCCCAGAGAACACAAGGTGCTGCAGCCTCACTCAGTCTCACCCCTTGAGCCCAGAGCATCACAAAACAGCCTGAAAATCCCTCTCTGCTTGGTGTGTTTCTCCTCACAAGCACCCAACCAAACTGGGGAGAGATGCTCTTGTCCCTCTATGGCCCCACCATCCTTGCCAATCTTTCAGGAACAGGGTGGCACAATAACACTGAAAGGGAAAGGTCCACATGAGAAGATGCTGTGGAGCTCAGACATGCATCAGCTTTCGTTTCCTGACAGCAGCTCTGAAATGATGGAGTAAATGACAGAACAACTGCATAACTTCCCTCGTTCTTGGGGAGATTTGAAAAGCTCTCGTGTTTCTAGTGTTTCATAAACCAAGAAAGTCAGAAATGGAAACCACATTTTTCAAGTATGAACTCGCAGGGAATTCAATAAAAAAAGCTTTTTTTTTTCCTGACTGAAAACATTTCTTTATCTTTAGGAATGAAAACTAACACCGCTGGCTAAGGGGTCTCAGGCTGGCAGTGCTCATAGCTTCATCTCTGTGCTCCAGTGCCCCTTGCACAGGCAGCAGCCAACTGTTTCCCCTTCCTCCCCTCTTGTCCCATCTGACTTTCATTCCAGATTATCTCCCTTTCATTCATTCTCAAGATTATCTCCTTTTTATTATTAGTTTTCTAGTTTTATTTCTTTCTTTTTCCACAGTACCAATGCTTGGACATTTGCTCTCTAAAATAAGACAGCATTACCACTCTCTTTCTAATGCTACTGCATGTTAGGCCACGCAACCAACACCACCATAAGAGTGGATATCAGAGCCAAGTTCATTTCTAATCTTCATACTCTGGTTGCTGCAGCACACAATTCCTCAACCCACATCATCCGAACAAGACTCAGCACCAGACTGCTCCTCATAGGGCCACAGTTCTTCAGAGCAAACAACATACCTGAGGTGACCAAAACCTGCGTGAAAGTAACCAAAAGGGAGCGCTGACTTCTCCAGCTCTCCTCATTCCCATGCCAGGGAGAAAAAGGTTGATGAAAAAGGAGTGGGAGATAGTGAAAAGGGGGGGGAAAAGGGAAGAGAACTTCTTGGATTAATCAGGAATGTCTCACATACATGTTTATAACCTAAACCAAGGAGCAGTTAAACCTCGACTTCAGCTACAGCTTGAATAAGGATTTCATTCCCAAACACTAACTTGCACACTGCTCTTTATTTCATAAAGCTGGGGTCATCCTCATGCCTGGCTTTGCAATAGGGCTGAAGCAGAGAGTTTGTGGGTGCAGGCATTAGAATGTTCACAACACCTTTAGAAATGCTTTTCAAAAAGCCCAGCTATAGTTGTTAGGTTTCAAATGTGCAAAGCGTTAACCTCCCCACAAAAGGGACTTGAAAGGAAGAGTTTTGATCAGCGCCAGTATTGAGAATAATTCAGTTCATATGTGTTGAGATAGCTGTGGGAGACAAAATATTTCAGGAAACTGTTGCCCAGGATCTTTGACCACTTCAGTTTTCTTCCCCTATGGAATGATGAGGAATAATGCAAGGATGAGCTGCAAAATGTCAGGTAGAAACTGGGGACAGAGGGACAAAGCAAAGCTTCCCATTAATGCAATGCATGTGCTGGTGCAATGCATTTCAGGTGATGGAGAACTCCTCCATCAGCACAGGTAACTCTAGAAGGGCTCCATACTTTGCATTTTAATGTTCTGATGCTTGCTTTTTGACTTCCAACACTAGGCACGATGGGAACACCGTTACCCCATTAGATAATGTGGGAGCTAAAATAAGTGATGCCCTTTGAAATCAGACTAGGTTCATTCAGATGTAAAAACTGATGAGGGGAAAAGGAGATGGGTTAGGGTTTGGGAAAGCGATAGGAATCTGGTAAATGTTGCCTCTGGGTTAATCGCAACATCTTTTTCCTCCTTCATGCTCAATCAGGATAACCTGGAACACACCAAATGGTGTTTTCCCATGCGGAGGCCGCTAGGAAGCGGTTTAGGTGCATGATTTAAGGTGTAAAAACTTTATCCCAGCCCAGGCTATTCCATGGGACCTCAATCCCGGGCAGCGTGGAGACACCTCAGGCTTCAAATCCTTCCCAAACTCCATCAGGATACCCTGAGTCTTTGTGATCTAACCAAACGTATGTCACGCTTCCTCAAGTTAATAATGGATGTCCCGGCAGAGCCAGCTCTTGAGGTCGGGGAGGTGGGGGGGGGGTTGCCTTTTTCTCTCTTCTTTTTTAACTGTTGCCTTTTCCATTCCCATTTTAAGGGGTGGGCAACACCGAGTGCAGCCTGCCTGGACCACTCTGCTCACCATCCCAGCCAGCAGCCCCGGAGCCCTGCGGTTGTCCTGTTCCCTGTTTATCTTATACAAGTGTTCCCTGAATGAGGCAAAATAAATAGGAGCAGCAAACATATGACTCTCCTTAGCACAAAACCTCCCCACCTCCTCCTTGGCTTTAATTTTTTTTCTATTATTATGATTTTTTTCCTCCCTCCTCCTCTGGCGACATAAAAAGAGGCTGCGTCTGCCCCTGTTGAATGTAAATGCCTTTGAAGTGGAACTAATCATTTCAAGGATAGTTTGCGTTGTCCTAACAACGCAGCTGAATTGCGAAGCCCCGCTTTTTGTTGGAGATATGTTTTCTTTCTTTCAGCCCAACCTGATGATGATATACTGCTTTCACGCTCTGTCCTCCCGCATCGTAAATCTCTGCCGCCGCCTTCCCCAGCCCAAACTTCCCCCCACGCCAGCGGGGGACTGGCTGTGGCCCTGCACCCATCTCTGTGCATGCTGGTGCCTCCTCGGGTATCCATCCATCCATCCATCCATCCATCCATCCATCCATCCATTGCCTTTGAGTACCTTGCACTCTCCCCGCAGGCATCCTGCATCCCTCTCTGAGCATCCCTCTGCAGCCCTCCGAGCTGCCACCAGCCCCACAGCTCCTGTTAATGCCATTAGTGACAGAGGTTGGGTTTAAATTGGGGCTCAGTGACACTGTGGGGCTGCAGTGGGTGCCTCGGAAATTCAGGTCAAGTGGTGAGGACTTGGGTTTCATGGTTAAGGATTTGAGGAGGCAACCTCGGAAATGCCACATTGAATGGACAGACAGATGATGGATGGATGGATGGATGGATGGATGGATGGATGGATGGATGGATGGATGCATGCACACACCCAGCAGCACAGCCTTTCTAAACCCCATTCCCACCAAGCCAAACTCTTCAGGGCTTGGATGCTTCCCCCAGCAGGTCCCATTCCTGACCAGGATCTCTATGGTGGGACAAGTTGTGGGTTAAGTCCTCCCCAGTGGGTGTTTGCTGGCTGACAACTCCTCTTTATTTTAAGAAGACAAACATATTTTATTTACTGTCTTCTATAAATTATTTACTAGCAGGGCTGAGGTAAGTCCATTAAAGCCCCATGGTTTGCTTATAGCAAATAGTTACCTGGGGACTGCTTTTGGGGGTTTTTTCATTGTAAAGCCACATGGTTGCCAGAGGAGCAGGGAAAGAGGGGATCAGGAGGAGCCAACTGCTGGAGAAATTGGCCTCCAGAAGCAGCACAGGAAGAGAAAGGAAAGAAATAGTTTTGCCCCCTCTGTTTATGAGGCCTTGCAAGCATGGGAACAGCCACCTTTCAGGTAGGAGTGGGCAATGGGGCTGCGACCAGCCCAAGCTCATCCCTCTGTGCTGCTGACTTGCATCAGCGATGGGGCAGGGAGTGATGACACTGTGCTGGGACAACCAGAGCCACATCAGGCTGTGTCTGTGCTTCTCAAGGCTGCCCTGGGAGAGCAGTGGGGCACCAGCAGCTCCATCTCCATCTCCTATGCCCACATGGACACACAAACCCCCTTGCTCAGCTCCTCTGGCCGGTGCCCCATCACAGCTCTGTTGTGGGGACAGGGCTGCTGTAGCACCCATAGCCTCACACTCATCCCCCTAGAACCCTTTGGGACAAAACCAGCCTCTGACAACCCCTCATGAGCTCAGTTCAAAGGAGACAAACACCAAAACCCATATATATTCACCACGAGAGAAAAGCAATGCAAAAGAGTGGGATAAAGGAGAATTCCAGGTGAAGATCAAGAAACTGTTTACCCTCAGAAAGGGGTATATGATCATTCCCAGTCTATTAGCATCTTTCCTTAGAAGCAAATCCCAGACTTTTCTGTTTTAAAAGGGAAGGGATGAGCATTAACAGGGCCATCTTTCTCTCTTACATCTTTTTTCCATCCCATGCAGGGGTGTTTGTTAGAAAAGAAGCAAAGGACTTGGTCCTGCAGCTCTAAATACTCAAAGCACAAGTCTGAGAAAAGCAAGGTGCAAAGAAGTTGGAAAGCAAACTGCCAGCTCCAAACAGACAGCACCACCTCTAGTTGAAATATGATGTATATGCACTGCTCTCATGTTTATTTAAATAGAAAATATTTATGTATGTTTTATATTTAATATATATATTTTATATATGATTTTATATTTACACAAATGAATAACTCAATCACTCACAGGTACCTTGATTGCAGCTGAAGTTCTCTGCATCCTCCGTCTGGTTACCTTCAGTGTATGAATCCTCCCAGTCCCCTCAAGGTAATGTGGGGCCTATGAAGAAAGGAGCAGAAATTGCCACTTGCTGTTTCACCACCAGAGACATGTAATAATGCTCCTAATCAGTGAACTTCACTATTTCAGATTTGCTTTAATTCCTTCAAGCAAACACTTCCTATTCACATGGATTTGGTCACGCTTGGTTAGCATCTTCCTGCCCAAATAGTCTTGGCTCAAGATTAATATGTTATTGATATAGCATTTTATATGTAAAGCATGGGAAACCTGTTTCAGTGGATATTAAACCAAGGTGTTGCTGATTAGTGTGGATACACCAACTTCTGGCAGGCCTAAGAGGTGAAGATACAGCCCAGATGTAGAGCATATCCACATCTCCATCCCTCCCTGTGCTGTCCCACCACCCAGGCAGCAGACAGGCAGAAGACCCATTACAGGGATTAGGGTTTTGTCATTTCTCAGGGCTTTATGGTAACCTCAGAGCAGCTGAGCAGCAAATGCTCCAGCATTTCACCTTGGTAGGCAGATGCATCCCAGCCATAAATGCTTCCTGGCTGCGTATCTCATCTCAGGACATTTCAGTGCTTTTAAAAGTCAGATTTAATGGCACTATTTATAGAGCAGACAACGAGCAGGCAGTCTTTCCGTGTCAGCTCCTCCAGGTCCTCTCAGACGTGAGCTGACATGCTCGAGGCTGAGATTTTCCCTCTTAAACAACAGGCCATGGAAGCAGATCCCATCTTTCCCTGTCTGCAGCAGCCACTGCCTGACGTGCATGAGAGAGCCAGGGATGCTGGGGGGAATGATACCTTGGGAACGCAAGTTCCCATCTCCTGATTCATGAGTGAAGCTCAGAAATCACACAGCTCTTTCTGAAGAACATATTTAGTCCTGTGTTAAAGTTTCTGGCTTTTTTGGTTCTCCAAATCATGGTTTTTTGACCCTAAAAGTGGAGATACTAATATATGGCCCAGAACAAATCTCAAAGACAATGTCATAATTCATCTCTCAAGTACCATCCTAAGAAACCAGGTTTCTTCCTTTTGTTGAGTATATTTGTGACATCCCTGGCAGTGTTCAAGGCCAGGTTGGACAGAGCCTTGGGTGACCGGGTCTACTGTGAGGCATCCCTGCCCATGGCAGGGGGTTGGAACTGGATGAGCTTTAAGGTCTCTTCCAACCCAAACCAGTCTGAGATTCTATGATTCATTTAGAGTACTCCCTCTACGTCTTGAAAATACACTCAAAGCTGCCACTTTAACCATACAAAACACAATGTACAATATATACACATTTGGCAACATGTGCTTTTGGTTTTCCTCTTTCCATATCATCTTTTCTAAAACCATCCTAGAGGGATTTGGAAATGCACACCCAGCCCTTCATCAGTTCTTAGTTCTCTGAGCTAAGACAGAAAACAGTGACAAAAAAAACCCCAAACCACCCCAAAAAAAAGCAACTTGAAGTGTCCTGGGATAAGTTTTAAAAGGTTTGTAAGACAAAAGAGTGCAAACAGCATATAGCATGAGAAAGGCTTAATGCTCAAAGAAACACCTTTCAGAACGAATATGTCTGTTGGACCTGCAATGGCTCCTTTAGCTCCAGCCTGCATTAACACTTTTGGACAGCCTAGTGCCTCTGAGACTTGACTGAGCAAATATTTCAAATACATTTGCTTTATGATGCTCCAGATTGTCAATCTTTACATAGCAGCAGGAGCAGATGCTCTTTAGAAAATAGTATCTGAATCCCAGCAAGTAAAATGAAGAAAAAAAAAAAGAAAGAAGGAAATCTGGAGTTTTTCCATCTTTAAATATGTATAGATTCTTATCAGTGATAGTGATCGAGGATACAACTCTTCTAGATATATAATACATTGAAACACCATTCCCTGCGGAAGAAGAAGGGTTCCACAACCAGGGATCTTGCCCCCTGGGGTGATGGGAACCAGATTTGGGAACCCTACACATGTTGAATGTGTGGCAGCATCCTCAGGGTAAAAGCCAGGACAAGTCCCACATGGCAAGGAGGATAAAGAGCTTCATCCATGGGGCGAGGTAGCCATGAACTGGAGCAGTGAAAGGGTCCATCCTGGCTTTCCATGCCAACAGCTGCACAGAGACATTCCCTATGGAGAAACTACCTCTCCCATTGACACCTGCCCCTTCTGAGGCAAAACAGGCTGCTCTCTATTTTTAACATGCATTTCTCTAGGTCTGTCTCCATTTAACAGGCCCTGCTGATGTCGTCTACAGCAGTACACCAACTTGCTTCAAGAAGACTCCTGCACCCTGTGGTAACTAACCCAAAGTGAGCTGTAAAGGGGAACTGAGCACAAACACCTCTCCGATGGCACACACAGAGTTTGCCTTCGGCTTCCTTCTTGCTGGGGTACTTTTGTTCACTGAAACCATCAAGTGATAGCATTTGACTGAGGAACGCCATCCGCTTCACACCTCACACCAACCACAGCGCTGAGCGCGTCAGTACCTGCAGGCAAGGCTGTTCACACTCCTCCTTTACACACTGAAGCTCTGCCATGGTTATTTGCTCAAAGACATCTCCAAAGTCATGATTTTCCACTGAGCTTTACACATTTCCAGCAACCAACAACAGGCAAATGACTCTGGCCACAAATGCTGTGTTCACCCAGGTACCACCTTAGCTGAGCTACTGTGGTCCCATCAGCAGAGACCCAGAGTCAGGCACCCATGCATCCTCATCCCTTCCCTCCTGGGTCTTAGGGAGGCTTTGGGAGGGCAGGATCAGGCTATTAACTGTTAGAATTACAGCCCATGTGTTTCGAGTACTTGCTGCCCCATCCCTGGCAGTGTTCAAGGCCAGGCTGGACACAGGGGCTTGGAGCAACCTGCTCTAGTGGAAGGTGTCCCTGCCAGGGTTGGAGCTGGATGAGCTCTAAGGTCGCTTCCAACACAAACCGTTCTACAATGATTCATTCATTCTGTGATGTATCTGAGATATTAGTGCCTGAATTAACGGATTAGGTCACCCTGAATCACACCAGATCATCATCTGCACAGGGTTGCCTTGACATCCTCCACATTTCCCTGTTTATTTAATTCTCCATCACAATTATACACTACAGGATTTTCTCATTAAGACCACTTACATAAGCAAATGCGACTCAGTGTAAACAATTAGCAGCATGTTATTGCATGAAAATGTGTAATTAATCCACAAGTTCTCCTAAAGACTATTGTATTAAGGAGAAATCTGTGTCCATGCTGGTGCCTTCCTTAGTTTCCTATTTGTGCTGTTGAAATGTAAGTGGCAGCGAGGCTGGAATGCGCGTACACTCCATCCTGACAGCACACACGCACATCACCCTTCATCCTGCCGAGGTAGCCAGTGTTCCATGCTCTAGGGTTTACCTCCCACAACAGTAGGCTTAAAGAGGGAAAAAAAGGCATCAAACCTCACATCACCGACTAACCTTTACCACTGTCAATCTCTTTGCTCCTCTTCCAAATCAGAAAATCACAAGCCAAAAGTACCCTTCATAAATACTTGCAAAAGGTGGAACAAAGATCAAAGCAATAGATTAAACAGCTCCCTATTCTTGCTGTGGTTTATTTGTTTTCCTCAAGCATTAGAGGGGCATCGGGAGGCAGGCTGTGATGATTTTTAATGCTTCTGTCATTCCAATGCTATCCCAAATCTGCCTTTGCAGTTTAAGTGTTTTCTATTATGGGGCAACAAAGAGCTATTCATTCTGCCTAGCACAAACCTTAGTTTTGATTAAGCACTTCTGGTAACCATTTAGGGTGCTAAAATCTGTCATTGCATTTAATTATCCTTGTTTTTTTATAGTCTTCTTTATTGCTCATTAAATTACTAAAGATGCTTCTGCGGTTTGTTCTTAAGAAAGGATCCAGCAAGCAACATATGCTGGTGAAAGGTTGCTCAGGTTTCTGCAGCATCTGAAGCTGTCAGCATAGATTCACTGATTTTGTGTTATCAAAGGGTAAGCAGCTCTTGTAAAACCCTGGCACTTTGGTCACCAAAGTAATAGTCACATAAAAGAGGCCTTTTAAGGTATTAGGTTTGGTGAGCAGCGTTATTCCAGAGTTCAAAACATGTGGAGAAACCTTTCTATGATTCAAAGCTGAGCAAATCATTGTGGCTCTGAACATGGAGAGAATCCCAGGATGGTTTGTGCTGGAAGGGACCTCAAAGCTTATCCAGTTCCAACCCCTGTCATGGGTATGGCCACCTTCCACTAGAGCAGGCTGCTCCAAGCCCAGTCCAACCTGGCCAAGTCACAAAGTCTTCCCATGAGCATGAAGCATCCTCCCAACCTCTTGAGCTGCTCCAGAATCAAGGCCTCTTTCCTGCCCCATCCAATGCTGGGGCAGCAGCATTCTGGCAGCATGGTGTAGCCTGGGTCATCAGAGTTTGCTTTGCAGCTGGGTGAGCTTCAACCCCAACAGGAGTTCCTTTGCTGTTGTTGTCTTATTCCTTTGCCTAGCCTGTCAAGCTAGGTGGAAAATGGTGATCACAACGTACATGGCTATATTAATTCAGTAATAAGATTACCAGCTGATGTAGGACAGAGAAGGTTTTATCTCTATTTAGATATTTTATGCAATATTGAAGCCACATTGGTATTTAAACATTATATTACACTGTGGTTTTGTAATCTCAAATGAATCCTATTCAGCTAATTCTCCAAGCTTCATTATGTTCTCAAATTCCCTTTAAACTGTTTTTGTGCTGAACTATATTTACTTAACTCCGGAACAGTGAGCAGCCCCTGCGAATACAGCAGGGATTTCCCCTGCTCACAGATTTATGCACTCTATTTTATATCAGCTTAGCAAATAACATGGCTCAAAGGTTTTACAGGTTTCCGCTTTCTCAGCTGTCACCTTTCTGCAAGAGGCTGTCTTAGCTTTCCATTTGCACCACCTTCCAGGCACATCCCAAGCACCAGCAGCTGCCAAATGCAGCTCCATAGGGCAGGATCCACTGCGGCTTTAGGAATTCTGTGTGTGTGGACTGGAGCTCTGCATGCC